CCCTCACCCCTCCCTCCCTCCCTCCCTCCCTCACTCCCTCCCTCCCTCCCTCCCCCACTCACCCCCCCACCCCCTCACCCACCCACCCACTCACCCACTCCCCCACCCACCCACCCGCGCACCCACCCACTCACCCACTCACCCCACTCACCCACTCACCCACCCACCCCAAGTTAACTTTTCTCTTTCGACCGAAACCGAAATTAAGCCGAAAGTTAACTTTTCAGTTTCGGCCGAATCCGAAACTTGGCCGAAAGTGATAAAATGGCCACTTTCGACGCCGAAACCGAAGCCGAAGCCGAAATTCGGTCGGTCTCTACTTAAATTACATACATTTGATAATCCATATTCAAATACTGAAGGGTACTTAACACATAATATGCATCCCTCTGGGGCCGGGGCCCCTTTTCATTTTTCCTTATAGAAGCTAGATAAATAGCAATAGGCTTAGTACTCCTACATGAATAGATGGATCTTGACCAAACTTAGTACACATACTCTTGATTATCCATATTCAAATACAGAAGGGTACATAACTCATAATATTCTTATCTCTGGGGGCATGGGCCCCTTTTATTATTTATTTTATGACCTATATTCTCCAACTTCCCATGTAGAAAGAAGCCTGAAATTGGGCAGACATATTCCTTACGGCTTACTGACAAAAGTTCAACAGGTTTAATTTCGAAACTCTACTTGGAACAGTCACAAGCGGGGGCCCCGAAGTTTGACAAGTTGTTTTGTCTTTTATGATATATATATATATATGTATAAATAAAATTAACTAAAAATACTCCTACATGAATATCTGGATCTTGACCAAACTTAATACACATAATCTTGATTATCCATACTCAAATAAAGAAAAGTAATGAACTGAAAATATCCATACCTCTGGGGCCGGGGGCTCCATTTCGTTTTTCTAAAATAAGCTATATAAATATCAATAGGCTTAGACAACACATATGTTCCATGAGATTAGGTGGATCTAGGCCAGTGGCGTAGCAAGGGGGGTGCGGACCGCACCGGGTGACACCATTTTAGGGGTGACACCCGATTGAAAAATTGCATATTTTCATAGACCACAGTTCTCGGTCTAACCAAGATTCATAAAAGGTGAGCCAATCACACGTACATGTTTCACAAATGTAACCAATACCAATGCGTGCTTTTTTAAAAGTTAATGGCTGGTGCGTCTGACATGAGATGACCCTATGTTTAGGTCAGAAAAACACAGTCATTATTCCATGCCGTTTGAAGTGTTAGGTAACTTCCGCAAGTGACAGGAGGCTATATTTTTCTAAATTCTGTGAAATATGGTTTTCTTTGATACCAAATAAGTGTGGTCGGGCGCTTATAAGTATAAAAATCGGTAAAAATTAAAACATTAAAAATGAATTTTACCCATATATATAGGGTTACAAAATATATTATGTTACACAATTTTCAACCTTTTAATGATTAATTCTTTTTTATTTAAATTTAAATAAAGAAAAGTTTTTTGAAGACACATATAATATTATATATCGAAACCCAAAAGGTATCTTACGTTTCACAAGAAACCCAAAATGAATTTCTAAGTGTCCTTGCAAATCATGTGAAGGAGATTCTTATCATGGATATAAAGCCAGCGAGGTATTTTGGAATTATTTTCGAAAGTCCACCTGATAGATCACACAGTGACCAGACGTTTGTAGTGGTCAGATATTATATGATAATCCACTATGGGAAAGTTGAAGTGAGAGGAGAGTTTCTTGCATTTTTTCCCGTTAAGATTGAAAAAAAGCTGATGACCTCAGGTCTGACATTCTTACAAACTAAAGCGTGATGGACTATACATAATGATGTTCAGAGCTCAGGGTTACGATAATGCTGCCCTATTGTATGGAATCCATGGAGGTGTTCAAGCCATTCGGAAAAGAAATAATCAGAATCAATTTTTAAGGGATGTGTGGGCCATTCACTTGTGTGGTCAACACTCTTTTACAGAAAATGCTTCATGTATTACATTTTTCGGTACTCTTGAAAGAATGTTTTCCTTCTTTGCTGCATCCAATAATCGATGGATTGTTCTAATCGAACACACTGGAATGTCGGTGAAAAGAATATCAACAACGCTGTGGAGTGCTCATCATGCT